GGCTTATAAAATTTTGGAGTTGCAACGTGTTGCAACGGGTGACAAATAAGCATCACATACTTGCTGCGCCATCTCTATACCTAATATAAAAACTCTATTAATTTATAAAAAATATTATAATTAGTATTTGTAATATTTTTTATATTCAGAAAATTTTAGAATATTATACATAATCTATAAAAAGTTATAGGAAATTCATTATTTTTAATGAGTACTATATAATCAAATTTCTCTTTAGGTATCATCTTTAAAAAAGCAAAATTGAATAACTATAAAGAAAATATAATTATAGAGAAATTTTTTTATTATGTTTTTATATAAATAAAAAAGCAAATAAAATAATTATAGAAAAATATAACTATAAATAAATATGACTATAAATAAATGTAACTATAAAGATATTTAACTATATATGTTTATTATATATTAAATATTAATTTTTAGTATTAAAATTAAAATTAGAGCTAGAATTTAAATTTAAATTAAAATTAAAATTAGAATAAAAAGCTAAAATATATATATAATTATCTCTAATATTTTTAATTAGTAATTCAAGATAGATTAATATATATATTTTTTATTTTTTATATTTTTTTAGATTTGTTATATATTCTTATTGGCTTGTTTTTTGAACAAATTACTAAATTTATTAGATTTTAAACAGCATGACTAAAATATAAATATTAGATAATATTTATATTAAAACATATAAGAATTGGAGATATATCATATAGTAATATAATAAAAACTTATAGATTTTTCTATATAATTTCATCAAACTATTTGTTAATTGTCATATAAATATATTATAGAAATCTATCTCAGTAATTTATGTTTTGAGTGACTTTTAACAAGAGTAGAGATATTTATTAGATAATTTTTATTTAATAAAAAGCTTATTTCCTCTCTTTCACCTGATTTTTTTGATTAATTAAAAATTTTTTAATTATTTGATTTTGATCTATATCTGATTTTTGTTCAAACTCACTCTCTTTCTAAAAAATTATCTAATAAATGTCTCTATTCTAAGCATAAGTTTTTTTAATAAATGATTGAAAAGTAATATAAATACAAAACTAACTTGAAATTCTATTTTTGAAGCAACTTGGCACCAATTTAAGAAAGAAAAAAATGTTTTTTAGTATTTAACTTGTGAATTAGATATTTATTAATTTTTATTTATATTATCAAAAAATTATTTTACTAATTTCTGCTTCTAATTTAGACAAAATATCCAGACTTTCCTTTATTTCCTCAGAAATTTTCTTCTCATCTTTCTCTATATTTTTATTATCATTAAATTTTTTTAGTGTAAATATATTTGCACTCTTTTCAATTTATTTTAAAAACATGTTTTCAAAAATCTCTTATAGAATTATTTGCAATAAATACATTTTCCATTATAACATGCTAAATGGTAACTGTGGTCGCAAACAAAAATCATTCTATTATTTTCACTAAACGAATTTAGCTAAACTTTTACCACGCGAAACTTTTATTACAATTTTTTAGAATTTTAACTGATCAATCATCATCTAATAAATCAGGATCTGCAGATTACATATCTGCAGCCAATAAAATAGAACTTCAGTCATGCTTGCTTTAGCCACCCTAAATTAATAGAATTCTCTATACTCGAAAATATTAATGATTCTTTTGTAACTACCTGAAACCTTCCCAACAGAAAAATAATCAGTTAATAGTTTTGAAATTTACAGCATCTTGAATAATTATAGTAAAAATCACTTTAATAATCACATTGTATCTTATAAGTTTTCCAGATGATAATAAATATACAAAAAACATACAAATAAATAGGTAAATGCTGATCCCAAACTGTAATATAAAAGATTCATTGTCATACAACTAAACTCTCGTCAGTAGTTAAACGCTTTTCTAATAGCTTCATCGTTTTGTAATGTAATTGGATTTGTGAATAAAATAAATAAGTCTTTCGGCAAATCTTTAGTTATATTTTCTATACGCTCATGAAACATTTGTAGAGGAGTCTTTAAAGCTTGTTGACCTTGAGCAGGTTTCGATGATGTTCCAATTGCAGCAGCTGCTGGGGGTTTAGCAGCTGCTTCTGAATCACTAGTAGAACCTATATGAAGGTGCGAGATGTCGGTATGAAGTTTATCGAGAAAAGTTGTCGATAGGCTTCCGTGTCTTTCAGGTTTATGCGGATCAGCAGGAGTCGGTTCCGGGACCTCCGTTTTTGTGGGTGTTAGATCCGCTTGCTCTTGTTGCTTGTTTTGCTTATCCTTATCTTCAGCACTATAATAAGTCTTTAGGTGGCCAATGATACTTGGGAATGTTTGAATGTATGAACGATGTGGTTCTTGGGCTGGTAAATCTTTCACGCGTGCTGTTGTCACGTCACGGATAAATATGCGCAAAATTCGACCAGGATTTTCTCGGGCAATTGTTGTGTAACTGTTTCAAATTAGTTTTAAATTGGTTTGGTTCTAGTATAAAATAGGCATTCTATACAGATAGATATAAATAACCTACATTTCTGGGTCAAGTTCACCAGTATCGCCAACGAGAATAAATTGGCGCTTCGGGAAGTCCTAAGTTATATAATATTATGTTGTTATATTTACGTCTTTAATAAGAAAAAATCTTTATATGATTACTCACTTTAAGCAATTCTCTAATATACATAAATTTACTGGCCATCGGATTTTCTTTTTGCTGATATGCACTCTTTATGAGCCCATCATAGAACTTTAGATGAGCTGAACCCGTGGGAAAGTCATATACTTCAAAGAAACCACGTAACATTGGAAATAGTTGCCAAGGTGAATTGGAAACATAATGTATTCCTGCTCCTTTATTGTACTAGTTTCATGATAAACAAATAGTAATATTTACGTGAGAATTTACGATTAAACATTACAAATTAGTATTACTTCATCAGACAAGAACTTATTTGGGATATCTTACCCAAAATTTATAAAGTGCAGCCATCCCTGGTACCTATTAGCAATGAGCAAATTATTGTCAAAATAACTATAAAATCATATCCATTGTTTGTTATACTAAATTTTACCTCTTTGAATTTATGAAGAAAAGTATTTGATAAGACGACTTTGGCACCTGCAGAAATGTCGGTATCCTTGATTGTGTCATCGATATCCTTTCATCGAAAAAAAAATAATCAGCATTCATTACTTCATGAATAAAAATATATTCAAAAATTGAAAAATACCGAGATCACAGAATATCCTTCAGGCTCAATCAGATTGACAACACCAAAAGCAGGATATGCTAAATTAAGCATCAAAACTTAGATAACCCTCGATCAAAAAGAACAAGGCCTAAATTAGTAATAAAAATAATAAGTTACCAATTTGTGAGTGATAAGCTTGTAATTTCAATAATCTCGCATGGTTCGAAGAACTTGAAGTACTCGGGGGTGCCATAAAATTCCAGATACTCTGCAAAATACCAGCTTGTTGATTCTTTGTAGCTTGTTCATCCCATTTAGAAATGATGTCGTTTTTGATGGCTAAAGTTCCGGTGAAAGTTCCCTCCTTTGGTTTGATCTTTATTGATTTTGCTTCCCATGCAGGATGACCGTGTAAATGTATTTTTTGAGCATTTTCTAGTATTTGTTGAACTTTTGGTTCTTCGACTTTAGCAGCATGAGTTTCTTGCGATGTCGGTTCATTTGGATCACCTTCGATTGTCATCTTTTTCGCGTCTGTCACACCGACAGCTTGAATTGTGTATTCCCCTTTGCTGATATTACTGGCCCAAAATAGTTCTGTTCGCGCATGAAGGATTTCATAGCTTTCATCACCTTCTTTAAGACCAGTTGCCCATGAAGCAATATCTACATAAATAAAATTAATTAATATAGCCACGTAACATCATATCGGGTTAAAGGGAAAATCTTTGAATTACCCATAAATAATTCACGTGTTCGACTTTTCTTTGGCGAGTTAAATGCCCATCCGCGAACACGGATATTCCACTCATCCGATCCATTATCGACTAATAAACGAACGAAAACAAGTCATAATCATCGAATTTCTTCAATTTCATATTACTTATCCAATCCAAACGTACCTTCTTTATATGAATAAGTAGGAAAAAGTATACAGTGCTGTTCATACTCTTCCGGTGATTCTGTACTTAACTGTTCTTCCTCTTTTTTATCACTGTCAAGTTTTGAAGCTTCAACGCTACTCACCGCAGCATTATTATCAATAGTTGTCGGTTCCGTTGTTGTGACTGGGGTAGTCATTTTTCAAACAAAAAATATCAGTGTCGCAAGGTACAGTTCAATAGAGTGCCAAATTTTATAGTTGGTTTAAAAAGGTCTTGGCACAAAACTTTGTGTGTGAGAAGAATCAGATCCCCAAAAATTCGTATAGAAATTCTATTCTGGCAAAGATATTCTCATCTTTTTTACGCGGGGTTAATATGGGACAAAAGAATAATGAATGTTCGGTGGACAAAAGTTTGGAATCGGGAAATGATCAACAATGTAGATCGTGACATTTAATATTACTCGACCTCTTCATAAATAAACTACAATAAAAAATATATTATTTTATTCAGGGCTTTTTATATATTTTAATACCAGGTTGGATACCCATTTGCCTCAATTACAGCTTGTACTCTTCTCGGCATACTTTCAACCAAATTTCTTAAAACTTTTGGCTCAATTGTTTCCTACTTCTCTGTAAGTGCATCCATCAATTCTTCTAGATTTCTAGGGTGAGTTGGACGTGCACGAAATCGTTTTTCCAAAACATCCCACAAATGCTCAATTGGATTTAGATCAGGGCTCTGGGCAGGCCATGGAAGTGAAGTTATTAAATTTTCCTCTTTCCATTCACTAGCTGGACCAGATCTGTAAACTGCAGCATTATCATCTTGAAAAAGATGAACAGAACTAGCTGGCAAATCATTTCTATACACTTTGGACCGCCATCAACGGTCCAAGTACATTTTGAATAAAACATCCCCATACCATTACTCCCTGATTACCCGATTTCATACTAGGAAGAAGGCAATCAACATCGCATTTTTCATGTGGTCGTCATTTCGGAATATTAGGTATGATTCGTCACTCCAAATTACTAATCCCCATTCATTAATCCAATCTTTTCTTTCTTTACTCGCTTTTGACGATTTTCCTCAGATACAAAAGGTTTTCTCAACCCAGCCCGACCACAAAACCCAGCTTCGTGAAGAGTACGTCGTACTAACAGAAACAGTCATAGCAGTATTTATTCAATTGCTTGTTGTCGATCTTCTTTAACAATATTAATTAATCTTCAAATAGCTCTATCATCTAATTTTCGTGGTCTACCGCTCCAGACAGCAACTGTAGTTTGGTCAAACTCTTTGTATTTATTAATAACATTATAAACAGTATATTTGGATCGTCCTAGAGTATCTCTTATTGCTTTTTCGGAAAAACCACACTTTCAAGCACCGATTATCTCGCCACGCTCAAAATCTGCAAGTTGGCAATTTTGACAAGTATTGATTGGGTTTGACATCAGTTTTTTTAGTTTGTTTGAAGGCCGAGATTTCAGCTTTCTAATGAACTACATTGTAATCGAACCTTTCCTTGTTGCACATAGACGTTTGAAATTACCCCTTAATTGCATCGATCATTGCCCGATTCCAGACTTTTGTCCACAGAGTGAGTGTACTACAAATATTACATTAAACTTCCAGTTTTATAATTTCGATAGAATTGTGCCACATCAACTTGTTTGAATGCTGGTGACGCGTGAAAGCGGACATTAGCAATCTCCAAATTTGGAGATGCGCTAAAGTCTGGTGGGTCCGGTGGTCTGTCCGAGAAACAAGCCAATAAGAATGCGTAACAAATCCGAAGCAAGAGCGTAAAAAATGAAAAATATGGAAAATGTTAATCTATCTTGGAGCACTAATTAAAAACGTCGGGGAGGCAATTTTACATATACTCTAGCTCTCCACTCTAACTCTAACTCTAACACTAACCTAACGCTAAAAAATCAACCTTTAACACTGTGATACGTGTTTATCACATGTCCACCAGGCTTTAGCCAACCCCTTAACTTGCTTACCTCTTGTATCTTTACAAGTTCTTCGGGTTCAACCTTCTCAACTTTATCCAATGGCTTCAGCGCACTCGTCTGATCAATATGAATCACAGCATCAAATTGCTTCGAGTTTTTTTGCCTGGAAATAATGTGATTTCAGTTCAGTGTGCGGTGCATAGATTACACCGATTGCACGTTGAATTAAGAAAGGTTCACGCACGAGATCTGCAACCAAGGCCGAGGAGATTGGTTGATCTCTGGTGAGGTTCTGGTGAATAGTAGGAGAAAGTTTGGTTCTTCAGCGATGATATGAAACACGTTTTCGACAGTTTTCTCGTGATGGATTTACTAGAATTCAAATAATATACGGCGGGAAAACCTTTAGATTGCATGAATAAATAACACAACCTGTTTTAAACTCTCTTGGAGCGTTCCAATTTGAAGCCGCTGTAACTATTATATGCGAAACAAAATCATTAAATTATGTCTTCTTTAATTATGCTTAATGAAAAAAATCAATCATAAGTTTACCTGTCCATGATGAACAGTGAATAAACACAATCATGACCGAGCCAGTTGTCCAATATTAGTTCCCATCCTTGTTCTGTTTGTGATACATCACCAACATGACTAACGATATCATCTTAATGATTGGCTTGCATATTATACTATTATCAGATTCGGGCATCTAACACCTTTTTATCTGTTATGAGCCTATTTAGAGAAATATCAAATTCATTTTAGCGACTTGATGCATTTCAGAATTGGTAGGAAAAACAAAAATTGCTCGTACCCAAACAACTACTTTAACTTTTCCTCCTCGAGTCCTTTCGAATCTTTTTGCCAAGATTTGCAGAGTATTAATCATGTGGGTATCACGGCTAATAATGAAACCAATTTTCGATTTAAATTTACATTTTTCTTTCCACAACAATGCTAATTATTACTAGTTACCTATTGCATCTTTCAGAACCACTGCCCATCATACAAAGATAATATTCCTCAGCATCACGAACGACCAAAGCGCTAATTTGTGCTTGAAACAATTCTTCAGCTTCTTCATCGTTAAGATGCTTTGAAATATATTCTCCATGTTTTTTCACAAGATCGCTTAATACCCTGACGACCTCTTCTTCGCAGGATGGCGAGATTTTGAAGTAATTGGCAAACGAATGTGTCAGTTGACCTGTTAAAGTGATCAAAGCAGCTATATCTATAAAAGTTAGAAATACGGTCTAATTGACATAACTAAATTCTTAAAGTTGATAAGAGAATATTTACGCGTCAATAAGCTTTATAGTCGACACGTTTGAGATAACGAATTACCTCATTTATTGATGTGAACAAAGAATAAAAGTCTAAACCGTAGGATCCAACAATAGAGCAATGATTTAAAGTTCGAAATTCCATACTTTTTTGTAACGAGCCCGAGACGGAGATCTACCATTCTCTCGCGCCTTTCTTTCCGGTTTCTCATTATGTTGTCTCATCCATTCAACAAATTTCGCTACTTGTTCGTTACGCCACATCCGTAGGAAATTGTTAACGCTTCATTGGCGTCTTTTGCAATGTTATTCTTGTAGTTTTGTACGTGACGATTGACTTTATAGGCGTCAGGCCAATCAGCTTCGACTGCAACTAAACTACATATAGAGCAGATCAAAGATGAATCCTTTTTCTTCAATAAGTCGTTGTGTAATCAATCTTCGCTCCTGATAAAATTCTTCGGTCCTGTACGAAGCCTCACCGATTAAAACACAACGTGCTGAACCTAATTTAAAGGAAAGTTAATTGATTAAAATGTCAGAAGTAATCTATCCTCCATAACTTTCCGTAGATCATGCTGATCATTGGTACCTTTTATATATAGATTGGTAACAAATCTCAATATCCAATAATCTAATTCTTGACGTTGTTCAAATCGGATCACTGAATTAGATTATTGGTTATCGATATATATATATATATATATATATATATATCTGAATTATGACCCGATCTATAAAAGGTATCAATGATCAGCATTTGTAAATTACGGAAAGTTATGGAGGGTAGGTTACTTCTGACAGTTCCGTAATTTGCCGCATAAATCACCCCTCTCTGTAAAAAATTTAAACCTTAATTTCACCACAAGGCTATTAATTTAGTAATCAAAATTTAAGAAATTGCACTGTGAATCTTGGTTTCTTTATTTGGTGGAAAAATAATTGGTTTTATTAAAAAAATTTGGACCAAATTAAGGTTTAAATTTTCTATAGAGGGGGGTGGTTTATGCGGCAAATTACGGCATTCTTTTCCAATAACACATCATAGTCATTCATTCATTGGATCGTTTAGTGTGATCGGAACAATACATGTATGTTGTCTAATAAGATCGAGATTTTGAAGAGTTTTCACTTCTTATTATGAGTATTATGTCTCGATAATTTGGAATAATCGATTTTGAGCGAGAGCGAAATAATGAATGATCATACTTAGTTTTTAGATTGATCACTATTATATCATATTAACGTTAAGAATATTATTAATACGTGTCAACCATTATTCACTTTTCTATATAATGAGCAAATCACGATTTCGACTCTACCAACCCAGTACTTGACCAAAATAATATCTTTTCTTTCAAATATGATCGTACTTGGCAATGCCGTTCTTATGGAGTTCGATTTCAAATATATTTAATGATAAAAAAGGAAGAACGTGAATAAAGGAGATCAAGGCGAGGGAGGCTTGATAATCTCGTTTAATGATTCCATTGAAATTCGAAAGGGCTATACAAGTATGCCCACATTCATCGAAGATCATATGTCTTGCAATAGCTTAACGGCGCTGACTTTCAGAATAGTATGTGCTTTACCATAAGATCAAGAACATGCTAAGGTTTGTTTAAATGGTAGAATTTGTATATGGAGATAAAGTTGGAGAAAATTTAACTTCTTTTCATTGAAGTTAATTATACCAATAGCAAAGTTGGATGTTTGCTATTTTTTATTGCCTGGATCTGAGCTGTTGATTCGAGTTTTTCAAGTCAGTTTCCATCCTAGAGTAGTAAAAGAAGCATCATTAATTTTCGCTTTTGACGCAAAAAACATGTTTATTTTATGCTCATAACTCTTTATCTCGGAGGATTTTTCATGCAGAAATAGTAACATAAACTTTTAAAAATCATGTTTTACAAAACATTGTTCCACGCTCACATTCCCAGGTTTAGATATAAAATGAGCAGTTGCCTTTTAAAAATATTTTTTCAAAGACTAGTTTTGCTACAATTACAAACCGTTACTCTCACCAACCGTTACCCCCAACCGCAACGTCAACTTCGACGTCGACGTACACGACCACAACCACGTCGTCGACGTCTATAACCAAGACCTCCAAGATGTACAAGAAATGCGATTGATCCGAAATATTTATATAAACACCCAGTTTAACATTTAAAATTCTATATTTCTTCAAAATTACTAAAAATGAATAATTACATTATCTTCTTATACCAACCACCCCAACCCAGTGTTGTCGCTTGGACGCAAATCCAGCAAGCGACAACACTGCCCCCACCCCCACCAGCACGTCTACGTCCGAAACAAGGACAAAGACGTCAACTAATCCAACAACTGTAACAACTGTTTCAGCAATTACAGCAACAGCAGCAACAGCAGCGTCAACAATAACAACAAAAATATAAAATTAAATAAGTCGTAAATATAACGATAATGATAAGAATTATTTTAATTAGAATTAATCAACTTTTTTTTATATACATACAGTATATATATATAGAGCAAATTCGGATTCGGCCATTTTCGGACATGCGTGCAATCTTTTGAATATACACTATAATACTATATATAATTTTTTATAAATTCAAGAAGTAAATACAAAATTTAATCCGTGAATATGATAGCATAACATTGAAACTACGATTCTGTAATCTCTTGTAATATGTAATATCTTAACAACTTAGGGCGATCTCCCGTTCCACACATTCTGCTGGACAGGTTCCGTGCATTTTTATAAAAGGAATCAACTGCGATCCCAAAGTCATTTTTCTATTTTCCTGAAATTCTGCTATTGTTCCAGATTCTGTATCGAATTTTCTGTTAATTTTTTTGGAAACTTGATAATTCTTGTCTTCCTGAACCAACAGTTTGACCGTACCGTAAGGTTAGATGTTTCGATGCATAAATCAGGCTTGGCGCTTGTTTTTGGTCCACACATTTCTAAATTCATTTTTTCGCGAGTTTGTATGTGCAGGTCCCCTTCATCGTAATTAAAAATTAGCAGATTTCTTGCAACATCATATACTGTACTTTCAACGTTTATATGAGTCTTTGTCGTGGACAGTAAAGATTTAGCAAGTTTGGAAACCCCAATTTATTATCTCTAAAATGTTTATCCTACACACAATGCTTCTTTTATTTCCTTTCAATCTTGGGAGGACTTTCTTCAAAAAAACTTTCGAATTTTTCACCGTAACTCTATTCCAAAAAACTCAAGTTTGTTATTACTCCATCGCGAGCCTGGAGTTGTGACACATTTTTTTGGCCTTTGACAACTTGTAGTGTTGAGTTTGTTAATGCTTGTCCTGATTACAGGTTTGATAACGTTTGGTTGTTTCTTAAAAAACAAGTATTTTTTGTTTTTACTACAAATGCGAAAAATACAGGAAACAGATGCATAGCTTGAAGCACTAATTAAAAATGTTGGGGAGGCTGTTTTACATATAATTTTGCTCTAACTCTAACCTGACCCGTCCAAATCAATATTATACTACACTAAAATATATCCGGCTTACATTTGTTCGGGGAGTATCGTGAATGAGTAATACTCTATTAATTTCATTTGATAATTTTATTTTGGGTTTTTTTATAAAATCAATAAATTTCATTAAGTGTATTTTGTAAACTGGTAATGTCAAGGTGCATTTAGTATTTCCAATTTCTTCAAGTAACTTTTTGGATTCAGATACACATTGGTAGAAGCAAATTGATTGAAATAACAAGCATTTGGTCAAAATTCAGTCTAGACCCATTACCAATAAAGAATTGACGAATTCGTCATCTCAACCATTGAAGTATAAAGTGGAACAGTGTTTGAACGTTCGTGTCAAACGAACAAAAAAAAGCGACGACTAAAAAAGTAAAAGGTAACAACGGCTGGAATTTTATTCACTACAAAATTTTCTACGCAGGTGAAGCAACTCGGAACTGTGAAGTTGATACTAGTCGGTGGCGTGGGTGTACTCTGGATTAGGAATTGTGATCGCTCGCTTAGCGAACACATTTTATTTTCGAACTGCATAGCTTGATTCAATTTTCCGCAAAATTAATTTTTCGTGTTAGTGAAAATTACTATGTAATAATCATCTTTTGCTTCAGTTGAGGAATATTTTGGCTCACCTGTTTTGATTTATTTATCCAATTCTTCGGAGAAATAATTTCTTACTTAAATTCGTCAATACGCATTAAATTTTCTAACATAATCGGATTTGACCCTACTAATACCAACATTCCGAAACTGAATCCATACTAAGAAGGCCAAGGAGAAATTCTTGCGATTTTACTTCGAGCATTTACTGTGTTATCTTGCGGCAGCCATATATTACACCGAACTTGATCGAAGAACAAATTATACTTACCGAAGCAAAATGTCCATTGTGCCCCGTATACATGTATATTGAAACTATTAGGGAGGAGAAAGTTGAAAGATCCAGGTCAAAGTCTTGTGACAATGATACTTCGCATCTGACATCAGTTGGTGGCTCTGGTAATTAATTCACGGGGCTTAAATTGACATAGTGCAGTAGTGATGGTAAATGACTTTAAATGATCCAAATGATCAATGACTAGTCATTTTAAAAGGTTGAATGACCTAACTAGTCATTTTAAAAAGTCAAGTGATCTCACAATATTCTTTATCCAATAAAATTAAAATTAAATTTTGTGACGTCATTATAAAAATTAATAAAAATGACTCACTGAAACTCTATTGGTTGAAAATAAATCACATGAAAAATGATCTAAATGATCTAATGACTAATGATCTAGATCATTTCGAGGTCATTTACCATAGAATATACTTAAAGAGATTTTTATTTTTAATAAAAAATATATAATATTATTAAAATTATAAAATTATATATAAGTTTATTAATAAAATATAATAAAATCAAAATTTTTATCTTATATAATACTAAAAATTATAATTTAATAATAAAATAAATTATTTTAAAATTTTTAAAAAAATTACACGAATAACTAACTTTATTCTTTAAGATAATTTTTATTAAATTACTAATCAAATATTTAAAAAAAGTTTCAGATAAAAAATTATAAATATTTAAACTTGATTATTTTTTATATATTCAATTCAAATTTGAAACAAATTATATAAATATTTATTATATAAATATGACTTTGTTAATAAATATTTATTATAATTTAAATTAATATTAAATTATTATAATATATAGTAATAATCAAAAATAATATAATAATATTAAAATTTATTAATTAAATATAATAAAATA